GAAAACCTGAAAATCCATCGGGCTCACAAACCTCTTTGAGATCATCTGAGCAGATTAACTACAACTCCATTCCGGATGATTAATTGGCTTGTTTTCTTTAAATTAACGACCATAAGCTATCAGACCACTATAACTATATCGCGGATTTACCTGTTCAACAGGTGGGTTATATTTCAAAAACTTGCTCCTATTTCTGCGCTACTGCTACTGATATAAAAGTTATTCGTTCACAGATTTTTGATTACGATTTACTCCAGCACAAGTCAATTTCGAGTTAGGAGATACGTTGATTCCATCGGTCAAAAGATTATACAGGGGTTCCTGTGAAGCGGTGTCCTAGTATTGGTCAACCTTTTCATTTAAAGTTCCACCTGAATATTCGGGCAGGTAGGTGATCAGTAGTTGATTGCATCCGGTGCCCTTGCAAAGACTTGTCGACCGTATGAAAAGTGATAACCAGAGGGCCACAAATGTTGCATCAGAACACCGCCGGTGGGTTACTATTCGTTGTGTTTCGACTAGCTGTACAAATGACACGAGCGACTCTTGCTTACACCCACACGATAACGCGAAGAGAGAACACAGCTTGAGACCACAGTCAATGTGTATTTATTTAGTTAGATTTCGATACGCCACAATCTAGCACAATCACGTACACGAGAAGACTGCCCGGGACGTCCCAGTCAAATTGTGGCCTTGGCATATCGATTGATTGATCCAATCGATGTAATCGGGCTCAGCTTGTCTGGAGCGTTGCGAGCGTGTGTGGCCTGTTTCGGATGGATGCGTGATCTGACGGGTTGTTTGAACTCCGTGCTAACACTATTAATTTACGCTTTTAATTCCTTTGATTCAACAATACGAAACATATTTCAATAAGGGTATTGGTGTTTGATAAGATGCTTTCATACGGAGGAGATGAAATGCGGAAAGTTACGCAGTTGTGGAGAGAATTGAACACAAGATCATCGGGGTGGAAAGTTGTAAACATTGACGACTTTAGCAGCGCCGCTGTTATGGGAAGGATTGCCGCTTAGAGAACCACGACCGATTCTTCGGGCTCTGCCGCAGTTCGTCGGCGATCGCTCACTAAATAAGCCTGATCTCGTTTGATTCACAGTTATCCTCCAAGACGGTGGTCTTATCAGCAACTTGCGGACTCCTCATGGTGTGCAACTCGGTCCTCTCATCAATGGAAATGGTCCCACTGGTCAGAATCAATTTAACTGATTGAAAGGATGTTTGTATTAGTATTTAAAAACAAAATAATCAAAAAATTATGTCTAGTAATTGTTTGAGTGTAGAAACTGAAACAGAACGGAACATCAAAGTGCAGCAAAGCAGTTCTTAATAAATTTCAAAGTTCAGAATATTAATCGACGAGAACTGAACTATCTTCGGAGCTTTAACAAACAACCTACGGATTGTATAGTCGCTGCTGGGATCTACAACAGAAAAAATGGATCGATCCCGTACTACTGTTGTGCTGATCGAGAAAACTAAGAAGTGAGGATACAAAATCCCGACTTACATCATCGCCGTCAGACTGGTTGATGGATGTGCTTTCTCGATGCTTTTCCTTTTTTTTGGAGCCCAATTTCTTGNTTGTGCCATTGTTTAATTGGTGCTCGCGCAAAGTCGTCCGCTTTTTGCATCAATGGCATTTTTGAATGAAGGCCTTCTGTCGGTAACTCGAGTCTGAAATTTGACACAATCAATGGCACAAAATTAGACTTCATTAAAATTTTGGCGTTACATTTAAAAATTCCGCTATTAGTTTACTTTTAGGGCGACAAACGAATGCACACGGAGCAATAATTGTGCTTGTATAAGTAATGAGTAGTTTTGTGCGATTCATCGTTGCGCTGCAACGTAGATGCCCTAAAACTGGAGCACTAATAGACAGGGATTCGATTTGTTGTTTGCGACGGATTGAACTAAGCAGATGCCTATGTCACGCAAAATACCTGGAAAGGATATTGTGATCAGCAACTTTATTGTTCCAAGTAACAGGTATAAAAATAACTCTACGATCAATAGATAGAAGCGATAAAAAACTCTCGCAGACCCTCAGCGTAAGCAGAACGATTTATTGACGGCTATGGAGATCATTCATGATCAAATTGTTGAAAGTGCACCAGTATCGAGATAAGAGCTCCAAGAAGAGCTGTATTGCTGTTCGAAGCCTCCCATTCAGCAAAGGACCCAACATGAACACAAAAGCTTGTTCATCTGTCGCCGGCATTTTAAAATATAAACGTCATAGAAAGATTACCCGACATGTTTTCAATGGGTTCCTGTCAATACGTTCCTAGTCAATCGCTAATGGGCAAGCCGGTTTTTCAGTTGTTTTCACCTTTCTCAATGCGCCGTTCATCGGCGCTCATTGGATGCGCAGTTACATGCTAACCACCAACTCGATTTCTTCTACCAAACAGTCCCTTTTTGGATCCGCTTAAGGAAGCTTTCAGTAAATTTGAACATTTTAGCACTTTTAATTCTTTAATTTGCTTTTTAGTTAGCTCATTAAAACTGGTTCACTGAAAACTATGAAGCCATACGAGGTGCGCCAAACGGTTTGATGATCCGTTGTTAAATGTTGTGCGGTGTTGGATACCATTGCGACGGGTAGCTGCTCAGTATACGATCTCCACACCTAATTCTTTAACCAAGCTTTGCAGCATCAACAGTTGTAGAAAACAAAATGTTTCAGCATTCGTTGACTTCAAAATATATTTCGGCAATTTTGACTGGACTCGCATATTTTGGCCAAAGCTTGGGGGGAACAGTTACAAAAAGCATCTACAATGAATAACTGCGTCTCAATTTAGGGCTCAATGATTCATCTGAGAATTACCTATGAACTTAAAACTTCAGGGATTCCCACTCAAATTCACAACAAAAAATGAATCAATGCTTGAGGATTTAAAAACAAGAATGAGAGAGGTTCCTCGTATTCCGAGAATAGTTTTTGAAGCCATGCGTTTCTTTTCATAGGTCATGATTTTATATTAATACAGATAGAAGGACCAACACCAAGCACTTCCAATTCAAGTTGTCCGAATATCATTTCAAGAAGTCAGACTATCACTTTAAGTTAACTAAGCATCAAGATTTCTCAGTATGGTTTTATGTCGGTCCAGAATCACTTCAAAGTGTTTTGATATCATTTTAAGCTATCTCGCTGATCTCGACAGAGCTACCGGATTCATGTACTTTTCAAGCCTCGTGGTGATGCCTGGATGACTACCATACAGGTGAGGCGTGGCGGAGACT